TCAGAGTTTGAAATATCGGAATAATTCGGATGACTGGCCCGCACTCAGCCCTCGTTTCTTCGTCGCCAACCGCATTGAGAAACTTGGGGACCAGAATGGGTTGTAGATTACCGTATTTGGCCCAGTGCACCCCCGAGGCGAATATGGAGTGTTGTCATTTGAGAACTGGATACAATAGAAACCACAGCAAGAAAGCAAAATACAGGGCACGGGACTAGATACCAGCATGAGTTCAGATATGAGACTGAATCAAGCAAAAGCCTTCTCCGCGTCTTTGTGGTCTTCCTCGTCGATCGCAGCCGGCGCCTCCTCCGCCGGGACCGCCCCGTCGTCGAACAGCATTGTAGTAGGGGCGGCGGGGGCAGCTAATCGTAAGTGCCCTATGGCATAGCCGACATAGAGAAGGATTAGGAATGTGACGAAGATGTCCTTGAGCCCGCGCAGGAAGTACACCAACGCAACGGCGACGTTATCGAGGAGCGGCTTCTCCGGCGCCACGACACCGCTCTGGTAAACCAGGTGCGCGAAGAACATATAGCAGGCGAGTTTGCGAGAGACTTGCGGGAGATGGTAATAGAAGGCCAGATGCACGGGCAAGTATCTGCCTAGATCGTAGCGCGCCGGAGTACCCTCCAGAAAGGTGGAAGGTGGCACAGGAATATCGCTCGCGAGAGCATGGCCGCAGGAAGTTCCGAAGAAGAAGTGGCGGTGTCTTGGCTTCCCGTTCCGTTCCGCATCCGTTGCCGCAGCGATGCCGAGATCTTGATCCGTAGAGTCCGACTCTGCCTTGACCTCGTCTCGCTAGATCATTTCTATTGTCTACAGTGCGCACCGATGAAACAACCACCGGTCCGAACGCGGCACCGTCCGAAAGCGCCTTCAACAAGCGCGTGTCCACATCTCTCAGGCATCCCGTCCCATGGCAGAGTCACTGCGGCGATCACCGAAACTTAATCAGGGAAAAACGGGCTAGAATCATGTTGTTCATTTAGTGGGCCCAAGTTTTAGTGGGTAAAAAAACTACACTAAAAGATAGGATCTTTCTTTCTTTCTTTCCCCTACAAAGACTCTATATTTTAGTCGGACAAAACAGGAACACGTGACTTTTCCCTTTGTCCTCAACTTTTTCTCCCACTAAAATTCTGGATTTTTGTGGGAGAAAAAAAGAGACAAAGATCCTATATTTCAGTAGAATTTTTTCTCCATTAAAACCTGGGCCCACTAAACAAACAACATGATTCTAGCCGGTTTTTTGCTTACTAAATTACGGTGATCGCCGCAGTGAGTCCACCTCCGAGGATCCATCTTCCCGAATCTTCGTCGCAGGGCACCCAACCTCGGCCGCGGCTGGCCGCTACAGCCTCCCACCAGCGTCTTCTCCTTCCGCGGCGCGCCGCAGATGTCCGCTTCTGCGCGCGCTCCTATCGAGACTCCTTCTTGCACTTTCGTTCCGCGGTCTGCATACTCACCTTCGCGCGTCCGTATCTCGATCCGCCTGCACAATCTCGCATCTGTTCTTCAATGCGCACACTCACGAAGCGTGGTCCGTCAGCCAAGGTCGCACCAGACTCACTGCTCGTGGGGTGCGTCTGTTCGTCTGGTGAGTTAGCCTAGTTAGCCTACCCTACTGTCTATCCTGTGCGTTTTGATTCAGCAGCAGGCGGACCGAGTGGGATGTGGCGCCGTTTGACCCAGGTTCGACTTGGCCTTCAGAGCCGGTACCTGTGTCGCGGTCGCCATCGCCAGAACAGGATTAAGAGTTGTCGTGAACGAGACGCGAATATACCGATCTGCGCACTCGGCGGAACTTAGACGGAACGAACATTATACATATGCTGTAGTAGTTCAAATTTGTTATTTGCTGCCCAAGCTGGTCTCTCTTTAAAAATGGGAAAAAAAGGATCCGGGCGGTTACGCGTCCTCTATCTATGTCGTACACTGTCACTTGTTCTTGTTATGAGGAAGCTCCTTGTAGTTCTATTTATTTTTCTTACATAAGCAAAAAAAAACTTTGAGATTCGACTCGGAATTCGGATGACACGCTCGCTGGACACACACTGCGGAACTTGACCCCCTTTTTTTGAGACTAATTTCTCCATCGGGCTGCCGAATATGTTCACTTCCTTCGATTTCATCTAGAAATGCCCCTCCAGACCCCATTACTATGGGGCTGATGGCGGATACCAGACTCCGGCGGACAGTCCGGCGGACAGCCGAAAGGATTCCTTCAAGCCTTCCCCTCCAACCTTCTCTTCTGGTGCTTCCTTTGAGCCTTTCCCTCGAGCCTTTCCCTGGGTACCTCCAGGAGCCATATCTCTCTATGTAAACTCCACAAACAATAACTCAAGGGTTATCACCCAACCATTTATTTGCTGTCAAACACTTCATGAAACCTTTCCAGCCTACCCTTGGAGCTACCCGTTTAAATCATTCACTGCAGGGATTGTCTTCATGGAACCTTTCCAGCCTATCCTTGGAGATATCATGTTTAAATTATCCTTTGAGCTACCATTTAAACCATCCACTGCAGGACTTGTCTTCATGGAACCTTTCCAGCCTATCCTTGGAGATATCCTGTTTAAAGTATCCTTGGAGCTACTGTTTAAATCATTCACTGCAGGGATTGTAAATCTGTAAATTTCCATAAAAATTCACTAAAAATGGGAGACAAGTACTGAAAGGAAATTACACACATGCTGGAAAAACTGTTCTATGTTTTTGGTGTCAAATGTTCCAAGACACTCTTTGGGGGCAGTGAGAAAGTGGGCCGGGGAAGACGTCGTCTGACAATTTTAAGCCCATATGAGGTTGCCATACAACTGCATAGGGGTTTATGTATGTTGTAAATTTGAAGCAGAGGATGTGAGTCCAAGGAATGACTGGAGGGAAGACATTTGTTGAACTCTTAGTTTCAAGATTTGTTTGTACTGATTCTATTCGGGATTCAGTTGTGGAAAGATAAATGTTTGACAATAACTTTCAAAGGTATTCAGATGCAGTAAGGCTGGACGGAAAGGCTGGATGGAAAGGCTGGATGGAAATTTCAAATGCTGCACCCAAGATGTGGGGAGAAAACCTAGAGGCAATACTTGAAAGGCTTAACTTGATGAAATATAACAAGAAATACCCCACAAGATTAATCTGGACAGAATGGCTACAGGGAAGTGTGGTAGAGGAAATATGTGGAAGGTTTGGCTGCAGCTAAAGCATCCAGGCTACCACTCAAACAGATTGCTGCAACCAATCCCTAAAGGGAAACCCTGAAGCTGTCCGGTGTCCGCCGGAGTCCGGCGGACAGTCCGCCATCATACCCATACTTCCATAGCTCTCCCAGACCCAGATTAGACTTATCGTCCGAGAGGCACATCATGGCTCCGTGGTGTAATGGTTACACGTCCTTTATTTGTTGAACAGCGAGATGTCTCGAGTATCTGAGGAAAAATTCCCTATTCGACTCAGGGCAGGGCCATCCCTTTCTTAGTTTCCATTTTTTCTGATGGTACATAACCAAAAACGGTGAGATTCGACTGGGAGATCTAGGAGACTGAAATCAAGGCCTGACTTTTCGATTTGAAGGCAGCCTTGTCATCTCGCAATATTTCCTCTATATATATAGGAAGTCCCCTGTTCGACTCAGGGCGGGGCGGGCCATAGCCTTTTATGGGCTTCTTTTTCTCTTACCTAGCCAAAACACTGTGAGATTCAACTCGGAGTGGGGAAACTAAACTCCCTACTCTTTCTATCAGTGAGTCTCATTTCTCCGATCCGACCTCGGAACTCGCCGGACCCAGATTAGACTTTGCCGCCACCTAGCCTATGTCCCACAGACTCATCATGGCCCGTGGTGTAATAGTTACACGTCCTCTGTTTATCGCACGCCTGACGGAAAATTTTATGAGGAAGTTCCCTGTTCGAACCAGGACAGGGCCATAATCCCTTGCTTTAGTTTTTGTTATTTGTGCATAACCAAACAGTGAGATTGGAGTTCAGCCAACACGCTCGCTGTAGACTGATATCATCACTTTGTCAACCAATTACCAGACTTACCCCACCGTCCGACAGACCCATCATGTAGCGGTTACATGTCCTCTCTTCTTATGTCATCTATCTACATAGGACGAAGTTCCCTGTTCGATTTAGGGCGGGGCCATGCATCCTGTTTAGTCCTTGAAGTCTTGGTTTTTTTCTCACCTAGCCAAAAAAAAAAACAGTAAGATTTCAGAGATCTGTAATTAGACTGAGGAACTTGAAGTTCCCTCTTTTTCGAGTGATTTGCTGTAAACCGCGGAAATTGGAACAAAATGCTCAGAATAGACTTCAAGGTCAGCCATAATCCAGTGGACTCATCGTGGCCCTGTGGCCCTGTGGTGTAACAGTTACACGTCCTCTGACCTTGGCATGCTCTCATGATGGTTCTAAGGAAGTTCCCTGTTTGAATCGGAGCGGGGCCGTATGCTTTCATAAGTTTTGTTTTTTCTTACCTACTTATTGTGCATAACCAACCAGTGAGATGCGAGTTCAGATTATGTGTGTAGATATTCTGCGGAACTTGATCCCTGCTCAGTCAGGGCCCCTCATTTTCTCGAGTTGAAGGTGCCTTGGGCTGTCCAATATTTTCGCTTCGATTTGACCTCGGCAGAAAGGCCCAGAATAGAGCTAGACTTAGGTACCCAATGGCACGAGAAAGGCATCACGGCTCCGCGATGTAATGGATACACGTCCTTGATATGCGTAGAAAATATGTGTTAAGTGTCGTAGGAAGTTCCCTGTTCGAGTCAGGGCAGGACCATATTTCTGGTGGCCTTTTTGGCCGTTTTTACCCACGTATTGTGCATAACCAACAAACATTGCTGGAGATACGTACTCTGCGGAACTTGATCTCCTCAGGGCCTTTAGGCTTTTCCGCGTCTCATTTCTTACAATTAAAATTAAAATTCTCGACCTCGGCCAAGCACTCGGTCAAACCCAGAATACCATTACCCCACGGTCCGGAACGTCATGGTCCCGTGGTGTAGTGGTTACACGTCCTCTGTTTGTGCAGCTGTCTTAGAAGATGTATGAGGAAATTCCCTGTTCGACTCAGGGCAGAGCCACAATCTTCGCTTTAATTTTTGTTGTTTGTGCATAACTTGATGACCGTGAATTAGACATCCGTTTTACCCGCCTGTTACTTCCTATTTCGTGAGAAGTTATCTTAGACGTGGTTTCTATCGCATCGAAGGGAAGCCAGGTGACTGTAGCATACATTCACAGCGAAAATTGACCGGTTTCGGGGTGACCGAAAATGAATCTGAAACGAGCCGATGTGGAAAATGTTGTGCATGCTTTTCCACAAAAAATTGCGTGTAAGTCGGTGAATATTTTTGGAGCGGATTGAGGTCCATATGTCACTGTCGGTAGGCTGATACTCGAATTCGTCGTTGATTCGTTCTGGGACCACGTTCCGAACATGGAAAATTTCGGTCAATGCTCATTTTGCCGAGTCCCTGAGTCCCTTGAACACATTATGCTGGAGTGCAATGCACCTGGCCAAAACCAAATTTGGCAACTGGCAGAGAAACTATGGCGCTTCAGGTTTAACTCATGGCCCCGACTCAACTGGGGGTTACTCTTGGGATGTGCCTTGCCTAAATTCAAATCCCCCAAAGGCCACTCGGTACCTGCTCAAAACCGGTTCTTTAAAATGATTGTGTCAACATCCATGCATTTCATATGGAGGTTGAGGAATGATAGAGTTCTGGGAACAGCCAAACTTGCCGCTGAGAGCGAAATCCATAACCTTTGGGTGTCAAAGATCAACTCCACCCTCAAGCGTGATAAACTACTGACAAACCGGACCCGTTTTGGAGACCTTGCAATCAAGAAGCAACTGGTCCTGAACACCTGGAGTGGTACACTCCTCGATGAAGATTCCCTGCCGGATGACTGGATTAAATCCAACGGGGTTTTAGTGGGTATGCGGCCCACCACTCGAAAAAACGGAGTAGGTTGACTTACGGCCAGAGTCCCACACAAAGGCTTGAAACCTGTGCGTACTGTACCGATCTGTATGGTAGCAACGTAACGCGTAACGCGGCACCCAAAATGTTGCCTAAATTGCCGCGTAACGCTCAAATTCTCGACTTTTCCCGCCCAATTTGGGAAGTTTTCGGCCTTGCGGGCCATCATCTCACCTTTTTAGGTAATTCCGGTTCCAAATAAGGCAACCGGTTGCTACACTGCAACCTGATTTTTGCGCAACGCACCTCGGACGGTTGCCTCCATACAGATCGGTACAGTAACGGCATTTCCTCCTGGACACTTTACCGGCTCTATTGGATAAAACCAATTAAACCAGCGGATACGCTTGGAATGCTTTGCAGACTGAGTAGTATTACCTCAAACGCTCCAGAAAAAAAGAAAAAGAAAAAGAAAAAGAATCTGAAACCTATTGTTTCAGTAATCAGGTCACGTGAATTCCCATATAAGGCAGTTCACGTGACCCGGCTACTGAAACAATAGGTTCAGATTCATTTTCGGCCGCACGTAAACCGGTCAATTTCCGCTGTGATTGAGGTTGTGTATGTAGGTACAGTAGCCATACATTCCTCATTGGGACCACCGCGGTGATAAATCCTCCTCCTCCTCCTCCGAACAGTGATATTCGAGTTCAGATGAGATGCCTATGATCATTTCTCGATTTATCGCAGCCTTGTCTTCTCGCAATATTTTACTGAAGTGAATTGACCTCGGAAATTGGAACAGCACAAGCCTGGTAGAAGCAGAATAGAGGCCAGACATACTCCACGGTTCGACGAAAGCCATCATGGCCCCGTGGTGTAACGTTTACAAGTCCTTTCTTCATATCAAGAGAACCGTTGCTCTGAGGAAGTTCCCTGTTCGAATCGGTTGTGCTTATGTTTCTTATTTCTGAGGAAATTCCCTGTTCGAGTCAGGGCGAGGCCATGTCGCTATGGTTTATGTTTTGCTATTGTGTATACTCTCTGTGCTGTAATGGTTATACATCCTCTGTTTATAATTGAAATATCAACAAACAATTTACGAGGAAGTTTGTATTCGAATCAGGGCGGAGCCGTCCCCTTTCTTCGTTCCTTGATTTTTCCTTTTCTTTTTGCCATGCATAACCAAAAAAAGCACTGAGATTCAAGTTGAGGATGGGATGAGATTTTTAGTAGAATGGGGAATTTGCCTCCCCTATTTCTTGATCGGGCAGCTGCTGCGGAATATTTTGACTTCGATTTGAGCTCGGAACAGAGGCCAGACTTACCCTACAGTCCGACAGGCATGTCATGGCCCTGTGGTGTAACGGTTACACGTCTCCTGTTCCTTACCTGGACATTATGGATTAAAAGGAAGTTTCTTGTTCGAATCACGGCGGGGCCATACGCTTTCATGAGTTTTATTTTTTCTTACCTACTTATTGTGCATACATAGCTAACTAGTGAGATTCAAGTTCAGATTATCTGTGTAGATACTCTGCGGAACTTGATCCCTACTCAGTCAGGGCTCCTCATTTCTCGAGTTGAAGGCATCTTGGGTTGCCCAATATTTTTGACCTCGGAGCAGAAAAGCCCACCAGATGCAGAATAGATCTACGCTTACCCAACGGTCCGCCGGAGGCATCACGGCTCCATGGTGTAATGGGTACACGTCCTTGATATATGTAGATAACCTGGGTTAAATGTCCGAGGAAATTCCCTATTCGAGTCAGGGCGGGACCATATTTTAAATTCTGGTGGCCTCTTTTGCCGTTTTTACCTACGTATTGTGCATAACTAACGAACATTGCTGGAGATACATACTCTGCGGAACTTGATCTCAGGGGTCTCATTTCTCGACCTCGGTCAAACACCTCCGCCAGACCCAGAACTAGAACCCCACGGTCCGATACACGCATCATGGCCCCGTGGTGTAATGGTTACACGTCTTCTATCTGTATATTCGTCCCATGAACCTTTATGAGGAAGTTCCTTGTTCGATTCAAGGCAAGGCCGTAATTTCGTGCTTCAGTTTTTTCGGGGTTCAGAAGAAATGAAGTTCCCTCGCCTCATTTCTCGATTTTTCATTTCGTAATATTTTCCCGAAATGAGTTAACCTCGGAAATTTGGGAAAATTAGAACAGCTGGCAGACTGGCCTAGAATAGAGGCCAGACTTACAGCACGGTCCGACTATCATGGCCCTGTGGTGTAATGGTTAAACGTCCTCTGTCTGTGAAGGTGTCTGGAGCTTATGAGGAGGTTCCCTGTTCGAATCAAGGCGGGGCCATGTTCAAAGCTGCGTCATTTTTGCTCTTATTGTACATGACCAAAAAGAGTGCCACCCTCCCGATCGGGCAGCTGCTACGGAATATTTTGACTTCGATTTGAGCTCGGAAATTGGAACAGCGCTGGCAGACGCAGAATGGATTGAGGGTTAGCCCACGGTCCGACAGTTGCATTGTGACCCTGTGGTGTAACTGTTACACGTTCTCTCTGTGTGAAGGGTTTCCAGTCAACTTCGGAGGAAGTTTCCTGTTCGAATCAGGGCGGGGCCATGGAATACCCTGTCGACTCCTTTTTTTTCTTCTCTTATTTTACAATTGAGATGAGGAGTCTGCGCTCCGATGTTAACACGCTCGCTGAGGGCTCTCTTCACTGTGGACCCCCGACTCCGTGAAATTCACTAATATTTTCACCACCAATATGAGGGGAATTTCACCTCTCAAACACAGTAAATTTCGCCCCACGACCGTGAATTTCACGGTCAGAATTACGTGAAATATTTCACGAACAAAACGTTACTTTTCGCCAAGTTTTTTGGCGGTGAAATTCAAGCCTTTCAAGTGAAAAAGTAATGTCACGGGATCCTTCTCACCCACCCACATTACCAAGGTACACTCCAGTGCTAATCAACCAACTAACTAACACCTTACAACTATCTAGTAACTAACTCCATGCATACTGCACACACACAAATAGTATAAAATTTCCAGTACTGATGAACAGAGTTATGTACCTTGCTCCGGGGCCCGGGAAGGCTACGTGAAAAACAGGATTCACGCTCTTTTGGCGTGAAATCGATTTTTCATGTAGTTCATCTCATCTGAGACACACTTTCACCTAGATTTCACGGTGTATGTGAAATTTTCTTTTCACTCCTTTTTGCAAGTGAAACGCGAAATTCACACAACTGTGTCGTGAAATTCACGCACTCCGGGTTCCAGTGTAGATCTTCGTACTTGTCAGGGTCGGAATCCTTTTTTTTCTGAGACCGGGGGTAATTAGACCCTACCAACCCCTTTGATATATTACATCCCGGACGCTGGCCTCGGATCCGAAGCCGAGCTCCACGGCGTCGACGATGACCTCGCTCGACCTCTGAGCTTTGCAAGCAACCGGAAGGGGAAGCGCGGGCGATCGGGCCGGCTGACTGAGTGAATATTGCCAGCCAGTAGCGTCGCTGCTGCCTTTTACATCTTTGCTATGGCCTACGACGACAAGCACGCCCCCGAGCACGACGAGCACGACGAGCACGATTCCACGCACCCCCAGCGTCCCGCTGCCGCCCCCCGAGGCCGCCACCTACGACAAGCAGCCCGGCACCACCCGCGCCGACCTCCTCGCCGCCTCCACCACCACCCTCGTCCCCCCGCCGTCGCGCCCACCGCTGTCAAACGCGCCGCCTCCTCCCCGGCCCCGAGCACGCCCGCGATCGTCGAGACGGTCGATCTGGTGCAGGATTAGGGGTGGGCGGTGGTGTGAGGGTATGGAGGTTATGGAGGTGTGTTGCCTGCTGTTCCTTTCGCGTTATGTGCTCTTCCTTTCGTCGTGCGGGTTCTTAGCGTCTTGGTTGCGGTTCGATCTTCCGTCTTGGTTACGATGGGTGAGCTTCTGCTTGGTGTGGCGCCGAGGCGCTTGGCGCTTGGCTCTTGGCCTGGGATCCGCGGGCTTCCTCCTGCTTCTTCTTTGCCTCCGCACCTTGCCTCCGCCATATATCCATCGCGGGTGCCGACGTCGGCTGCTCGAGATCTACTGCGATGCGCCACCTCCTCGCCGTCGTGCAGGACGGATCTCCGTCGCGCTCAGCTAGGCACGGATCCGGGGACCTCCATCGTGCTGCGTGGATGCCAGAGGCTCTCCGTCGATGCGTCCGATCTGCAGCGCGTCTCGCCCTGGCCTGTCGCCCTCGATTTCGACTTGAGCGTGCGTCCCTCGATGCGATGCGGGCGTCGATGCGCAGCGCTCATTTCTATTGTCTACGAACCCAAAAACGCATATTTGCGCATCGATGCAACATTTACTTCTCCATTCACCCACCAAGTACCGTAGAACGAGCAGAGCACGGCAGCCTTCCAATCGCGATCGCTGTCGCGTTTAACATGGCGAGTGAATACAAAACACTGTGGAATACGGAAAATTGTTCTTATTCTTGGGTCAGATTCTACACGTGGCTCCTGCCATCTTATTGCTTGTCTGACTTACATACTACTTGCATCGAGAGCCCTCGCGCCTGAGGGCGAGCTGGTCAGTACAGTGTGCACGCCGCACTCTCGTTGACTTTGATGAGATTCTCATTACTAAATACGACTGAACATCTGCTTCAAGATCACACAAATTGCGACTCGCCGCGAGAGCAATACAAGTGGCTCGTACGTTTGCGGCCACTGCAGCCCGCCTTCCGGTGGCCCGACAATCTGGAACATAGAACATTCTGAATGACGTTCAAATTTTCACCTCCCGACATCAGCATGTGTTGTCTAGGAATGCTCAAGGCTCCCCGTAAGAGGGGTACCAATCGCGCCGAGACCGCCGTCGCGGTGGGCTACTGGCAGCCCGGTTTTCTAAGATCCGACCCATCTCTTGCCATTTCGCGGTGTCAAGGAACTTGTTCAACCACGATCATTGCGGCCATTACAGCCTGCGCGCCGTCAGTCCATGATGCGATCATATATAGCGCGTCTCTGGCGCTCGTGGCGACCAAAGAGTCTTCAGTGTCCAATATGTATATATAAAACCATCTCCTACGAAGACTCATACATAACTGGGACAAACCGTTACATGGACACCAGCTGCACGCAAGGCGCGAAGGACAAAACGACCCACGCAATGGTTGCATTGCGACGCGCCAACCCTTGCTCAAATCCAGCACATTGACCTCTGGAGTCTAGCGTTCGGAGACGCGAGGTGCTCGTGGACAAGATCGAAGGTCAGTGAATCCGCCACAGTGAATGTATCGGCCTCCGATCCAGCTCTCGCTTCAAGCTCTTCCAAACTTCTGCTCTTCGTGAAAGAAGAGAGATCTTTGTAACTTCAGTATCGGCAAAGGACACGAAAGGAACAATTCTTATTCAACACCTTACCCGACATATGCCAAACTGGGAGAGATAGTGGAATCGCAATGGCGCCATGCCCCCTCACCTCATTTTGGTTTAATCACACGGCTGGAAATCGGCCAGGCCGCCGCCGCGAAATCCGAGACGCTACAGAAAGAAGGGCTACAGGTGTTGGTGGTCAAAGGCAGAGGCGAAACGGATGCCTGGCTTCATAATACACGCTTAGATACCCTGACTATGCGCAGTGGCACTGGAGCTAATTTTATTGGAGGAATACTCACCGTCGATACTACATAGTCATTCCAAGCAATCCCGTAGGCCAATATTGGCCACTGTCAAGCACCAGATACATACTCCGAGAAGAACGCGCGGACGGCAACCTGTGCCGATCCACCCTCTGCCCAGGCTTCCGCGAACGCATCCCGCATTCGCTGGGCCTGCTTCCGCTTCTCCGCCCCCGCTCGCCGCGGCACTGGTCGATGGTCTCTCTAAACTCAGCGCGCAGAGCCGCGGGAGTGCCTGAGGGTACCCCCCGCTGTACAGCGGCTGCAGCCCCTTATCGGTGCGCACTTCGATGAGGTGGAACGCGACGTTCAAATTTTGCGAGAGATGCTCTGCGGCAATTGGCTGATCCGCCTCAAAAGGCCAGCATATCCTGGCGCTGGCGTTAGATTCCTGGGCATTAGGTGGGTAAAAATCGCACATAGGGACCCCAGCTGCCAGTGATTCGCTTATACTACCGTGCCCGCCGTGGGTTAAAAACCAGCCCGTCGCCTGCAAGATGTTTACATGGGGTTGCGCCGAGGTATGCGATGACGAACCGGGTGGGTCAGGATAAATTGCTGCGGGGCCCACGCAGAAGCCATACCGATGCCGGAGTCTTTAATCTTTGACAGTAATGTGTCCCATATGGTGGCCATGGGGGACGCATGGCACAAGATCTGCAAAATACTCAATTTGGGTTGCTGTTCGAAACCCGGTAAATTTCGGAGGGCTTACAAAGGGAATCTTTTTCAATCAACGGTCTACCAGATCGTCAAGCTGCCCGTCGCCCTTCGGCCAGAACAGAGACCCAAAAGATATCTGTGCGTATTATTGTCCAGTGGGCATACAAATAGGACATGAACACGCACAAAGAGCACCGATTTGTCGCCATATTTAGCTCCCATGGAGTCGAGGAATATTTTGATTTCTACGTCCTGGGGAGCGTTGGATGACCCCGTCTGTCCTGCACCATATCCTGTAGGGAGGAGAGGCCCGATTGCATAAACGCCCTTGTGTAGCGTTCGTTTCACCCAGGTCTCTAATGCAATCAGACTCTCCCCGTCGTATGCTGGCGCGGTTCCGAGGAGAATGCCATCGCAATTCATGATCACTCTAAAAGATTTGAGCATGTATGCCCAAGGAAGCACAGAGTTTAGCGAACCACGCACTCGTAGCCTGCGGCGACGATTGCCACTACGTGACCCCGAGGGATATCTTATAATACCGAATTGAACATGGTGTCGAGGAGCCTTGAAAAGTAGCCGCACCTGGGGAAAGGCCTCGTAATCGTACATTGCTGGAACCCCCGGGATCTGGATGACCGTTCCGTCCGTGTGTCTGAAAAACTGACGGTACAATAATGTCAGTACACCTGTCCAGCGCGCGCATCCGAGGTCGACACACCTCCTCGCCTGTTTCTTCTATGCTTTTACCCGTTCTCAATGCCTCGGCCTCGATTTTTGCACCGGAGTTACCACGGCCCCCCAGAGACTCTGGCCCGAACATCCGAAGGAGCGAGCCACAGTTGGCAGCGATGAACGTGAAGATTGGAATCGTGGTCCCGGTCATTGCGCGCGTTGCGTTTAGCTGAGGGCTCGCGAACACCTGTTGGACCTGTTTCAGGCCAAGTTAAGATCTATCGAGGGAAACGTACATCGAGGATGACTACCGCGGGAGGAGGGACAGCTGC